ACAGCTTTGAATGTTCGTATTGTTGTCACTATAATGAAGCAAGCAGCGCTTGTAACCAAAAGTTCCCGTCATCTCAGTGAAAAGGACAGAAACAGAATTGCAGGAGCACACAAGCTGGGATTTTCCATATCACATCCTACCCAATGCTTTAACATTAACAAAAGCACAATTGACAGGATAATCCATGGGGAAACAACAACCCGAAAAGCTTGTGGGGGCCGTAAATTGAGTACATCCAGACAGGGGGACGACCTGATTCGTATTACTCTGAAAAAACATTGCAGGAAATTGTTGTCGTCTATCAAACAGGAAGATCTTCCCCGCCATTCATACTCCCTTCTGCAGAATTGAATGAAAAAATTTAAGATGCGTCAGATTTCAGCTGAAGTCAGGCCAGCATCGAGCACGCAGCAANGTGATCGATTTATTTCGCTGACGAGTGCATGGTGTGCGACGAACCTTGGAAGGCTCACAAAAAAGTCATTTTTGGTGAGAATTTTCCAAAAGAACTTATTCCACCAAATGAAAGAGTTTCTCACCCGTCGAGATTACTCATTTGGGTAGGACTAAAACATGGTCAGCCTTGTCGGTGGACTTCAGTCAAAGTCTTCATGAATAGTGCGAAATTTGCATCAATAATTTCGAAAATTTTTCTAGGATTTCATGAAAAAGAATCGTCTGGAAAAGTTATCGTTTTTCAGAATAACGCTTCGTGTCATGTTTCACGAGAGGTTAGTAAATTTATTTACCTATGCGTTGGACCTTGGAGGCAAAAGTGCGATACGTAATGGAGCACAACATAGAAAATGACTTCATAACAAAGTTGGTGGTTTTGACGCCGAAGAGACTCAAAAAAGTTCTAAAGAACAAAAACAGACTAATCGACTACTAGTGCACACAAACTTTAAATCTTGCTTATTATCAATGCTAATTTGTTATTAATAAAAACTGTTCCATTCTCTTTAGTTAGCTCTTAACTCATCATGGTCTAGGTCAACCACTACTGACGAAATGTGAGTATCCGCTACATTTTGAACCACTCCATCTGCTGAGTATAAACTATTCAGGAAAATCACGAATACAAAGACTCTCCAAGACTTGTTTGTTATTAGTTTTGAAAAACATTTACTTCAGTTTAAATGCTGTTGCCCATACGAACCGACAAGTGTTTCACAGGGACCTGTTGCTTCAGTTTCGATTAGGCCTGTATAGCACCGTTTAATTGTTGTTGACAATCAATAAGAAGTAGTCAACTGATGCCCATCATGAATATAACGAAATCAAGGTTGTATAATTTCCTTTTCCCAGAGCAGTCGTGAAATCATTGGTGATTCGTCAATTTCGTCCGATCATTCGTTTTAGTATTGGTAATTCTGACAAGGCAACGTAAGAATGATCATTCCTTTTTAAACCAGGATTTAGTTGGGGAAGTGATCTTTTTTCATTCCTACCCTTTAACCTGAGGTATCGGAAAACTAAACGACGCATCTGTCAATGTTTCGTTCATTTTCATATTCTCACATATGTGTACGGTTATTGCTTTCCAGATTCAAAGTTGTTTGGGTTTGTCCTTTGTCCGATAAAAAGTTCCGAGAGCCGATCTTCGTACGGAAACATATTTTCAATAAACATATGGACAAAGTAGAGGCCGCGAAGAAAGACAATGCAGTTTTTTTCAACAACTATTTACGGGACCCCCGACGTCCGTCCTTACCGGAAGCTCCCTATCATATTGCACAACAATATTACAATTCATCCAGCTCTACCGGAGGTAACTACCGTGGACCCCGCGGAGCGGGTCGCATGGCGGGTAGCGGACCTGGTGTTGGGAGCAACTATAGAAGCAACTACCGAGGTGTCAATTCTGCTAATGCGGCTTCACTGCTATCAGCCGCTGGTTCCGTATATTCGCGTGGAGCTGGATCTTTTCAGGTTAGCTGTTCGCTTTACAGTCGGTCATCTCATGTACTTTCGTACGATTTAACAATCTTTCGATTCGTCAGTATTTTGTGATTCTCAAGTACATCTCTCGTGTGCATGACTTCATGTGTGCACTAGTGTGAATGCTCTTTATTGATTCACCTTTCTAAAAAGTCCTTGGATATCTCGTTTACTAATATTATTAAGTACTAGTTTTGTTGAAGGAAAGTAGTTGAGGTACTACATGAGTGGATACCAGGGTGTAAAAATGGAAATCCTAGGTTATAGCACATGAGTTTTAATTCAGCCCTCAGTTCCATGTCCATTTCATTTCTGTGATCAAATTTCCCTTTTAAACTAAAGTTTGGTTCACTACAAATGTCGCTGAACTGGAGAACCCGATAACTTCAAAACATTCTACCGCTATACACTACAAAATGCACAGTTTTGTGAGGTGCAAAACTGTATTTGTTTCTACATTTAGGGTGATGACTGAAAGAAGTGTAGTGAAAGTCCTGGTGTCTCTAGAGTTTATTCAGCAATACCTGTAAAATTTTTGTCTGCCTGAGGGTCAAGTCCTTTAATCAGCGCCGCCGCGTTTATTTACGTAAAACTCTATACCTTACCTTACCGTTGCTGGTCCGGTTGCTTCACCCAGGTTGGTGCAGTGCTGCGTAGACAGTGAGGTTCGAACACCAGGTCTATCTTCACCCTGTTTTCTTGAAGAACATGTTTCTGCGCTATGTAGCAGAGCTTGCATGCATATCATCCGGAAAATCTAACCACTTCACTGTGTATGACAAAGTTTTTCTGCATACTCCATTTAATACAGCCTCTCACCGGAAATAGTATTAATGCGTCTACCCTAGTCGGTGCTTAAATCGTTTCTAGAATCGCATCCATTTAAAAGTTGAGGAGCGATAAGTGAATAACTGTGACAAACAGCTTCCCATAATGAAATCACTTGGGCATTGTACATACGCTTGATTCTCGGCTCTAAGTCAAACATTCCTAATAGTCAAGTAGACGTATTGGGAACACTGCATAATGCAGGCAACAATGGACTATCGTGAGGTCTTTTGCTTTTAGAGATCCGAAAGTAGAAGTGCTTGCTTCGTGATTTGGCGAAGATTTGAGACTAGTTGAACCGGCCTTTACTAGTTTCAGTATTATGTGATCAACGTCTAGATGCGCTGGCAACTAATAGCCTATAATTCCAACGGGAAGCTTGAAATCGTTGTTAATCAAATTAATATTTTCTGTGATTTTTACGGCGGGTTCTGTCTCACATTTTGTAATCCGTATGATCACCAAAACACTGTTCGTCTGTTAGTTTACTTAGTTGTGCTAAATCCTAAAGGTTTATCAAATGATCATCAGTGAACAGCAGGTCCTCGCGACTGTTGTTTCCACTCCACCTGCGATTCAAGCAAATTTGTTTACTGATCAGAAAACTAGAAGACTACAATTATCCTATTTATGCCGACGGAATCAAATCCTCAACGTCGGAGACCGTATATTGTTTGTGATAGCTTATTTTGGGAGCAACCTCCATTTTTTAGTGTGAACTGATGTTAACCCATAAGAGTAAACGGAAAGCCCTATCTCGATGGAGGAGTACCGTCAGTCTGAGTAAGAATTCTAAGTCATTGATCCGGGTGATAAGGCATTGTGCATCAGTCTGTATTTCCACGAATTTCTTCCCCCAAAGCATCATTTGCGATTTGTTATATTTCGGTTTAAATAATATTCAATTCCTTTTCTTTTGTTTATTCTCTCACACCTGGCCATATATATCTGCAGGACTACTACGATATAGCGGCCCAGCAGCAGCAACAACAACAAGCTATGGCAGCGGTCGCTGCTGCAGCAGCGGCGGCTTTATGCCCGAATGCCAACCCAGCTGATTTGTACGCGTTGGCTGCCGCCAGCGCGGGGAACTCGCGAGGTCCTGCCCCCGGAAGACGAGGCCAGCGTGGTAATTCGCCAGGCCATGCCGAGTACAGTGGGCGGTCATTTTACTCCGGGGATGGTCGACGGAGACAGCCTTCAAACTACGGCGGGAGTCGGTACGCGCATTCCAACTATTTGTAATTATTAGATGGACATTTTAAGTAACGAATTTGACCTCGTAGTGCGCAAACGAATCTATTGCAAAGAACGACAGTAAAATAAATTACATAATCGCCACGGAATATTATAAATCATTTGTTGCCACAAGTTAAAAATCAGGTGTCACCAACATGTTTCACTGTAAACAATGCTTTCAGGTTGTCGGTATTAGAACGCCCTCAACCGGTGTATTCAGTTGCAGATGACATCTTTCTATGGTGGCTCTACAGTTTGCCAAAAATCCCTTCACAAGAGATTCGAATACTCCAATCATGTCATCTTTGCGCGAGTATGGCATTCCTTGATTGCTGATTGATTCGGCAGCTTAGGGTTAGTCGTCCTAGAGGTCATTAGTTTGACTAACGGGAGTTTGAAATCTCTTTTCGCAGTGAACTATGGTTGAAGGGTTCCAAATAAACGTGAAAACCCGCCTCCAATAAAGAATATAGACTTCAAAGTACCCGATTTTTGCAAGCGATTATTATCTCAATCAAGATAGGCAAACAATATTCGGGTTTCATGACCGAACACAGGAAAAGAAGAATTTCATTTCTATGAAATAGTAGTTCTCACATGACAATGTAGTGCACTGATACAAAGAATGAATAAACGTGGAAACAGGTAAATGGGTTGCTCCTTTAATGGGTATCCTCGCACTTTTGGGCTGGGGGCGTTTGCTTTTACTAAGGATGCTATTCCGTTCAGTTTGTACAACCACGAGCCATACACTTTTTGCGTTTTTTGACTATGCAGTAGGGAGAGTTTGAATCATGTCCAACACATGAGCAGAAGACAAGCTAGACTGCACGTTTTATGTCAAGGCAGGCTACTCTGTATCTGAACCGCTACCACTTTCAAACTGTCTTGAAAATTCAAACTGAAAGTGTCACATCTGAAAGGAAATTGAACGAGAAGCTTCTTGTTGCATCACATAGCGCTCGTTTTGCGCCAGCTACCGGTCTTTGAACCAGTCAAGTGAGGCACGAAATCAATCCAATACAGAACTTTCATAATGCGTTAACACGTGAGTTTGGAAGAATAAACGCAGGCAAAATTTGGAGAACCGTCGGATGTTTCGATAATGGTCTTCGTTGTGTTACTACCAAGCCCCATTTGGTGTAACCAATGATGAATGTACATCTCTTGTTTACCAAACTCAGTGATTACAAGTCGTGAGTGATTTCTTCAAATTTTCTACTTCAGGAGACAATACCGCCCGGGTGACCGTGGGATGATTTCATACAATGATCTTGATGATCCTGAAAATGATGTACCTTGATGAAGAACACATCGCCCTGAAACTTGCAATCTGAAAACTCAAAATGTACTTCGCGAAAACTTGTTCCTGTATATTTGCCCACGTGCATTTCTCACCCTAACTTCATGAACTTCATACTCGATGCAAGTTCAAATTATTCGATATTATTTGCTCATTCAATAAATAATACCGACAAAACTTCCATTTTCCCTGGATCCAGCGTTGAATCTACCTGAAAGTGCACTGAACTTATGGGAACTCCAGTAAGTCACCATTAGACCAAGATCAGGAACCACAACTTACTCCTCGAAAAAAGTAATGCCCACACGCGTAGATCAACTCGTATTCATATTCCTGTGTCAACAAACCGACGATAGACCAGTCATTTTTCCCAACTAGTGGCA